GTCTCGAAACCATCTTTTCTTTCAGTCTTGAGGAATGTAGGTGTTGCCTTCCCATGCAAATATGGCTGGGACATATTGCTGGATTGCAACTTGGGCCCTTTGGAAAAGGAAATTTTGGGGTGTGATCTTTTTAAATCATTTTATCAGGGGGCTCTTGTCACCATCCATCCATCCTTCTATTGTGTCCAGCACATTAGTACCTATGTTGCCATCATCATTTTCAAAACATTTTCCCCTGAAACATTTCTTTTCTACTTGAGCCCTTGACATCAGCTCTTCATTTCCCCCCTCCCCGCCTTCCCTCACTCATGAACCCTTGATAATTTATAATTCTCCACCCCCCATGTCTTGCACCAACCGCTGTCTCCCTTCACCCACGTTTCTGTTGTCCATCCCCCTGGGAGGGGGTTCTATGTAGACTATTGTGCTCGGTTCCTCCTTCTCCCCCCTCCTTCCCCTTCCCCTCCTGGTATCTCTATTCTCATTATTAGTCCTGAGGGGTTGGAAAATAAATTGATTCTTACTATTGGTTGATTAAAAAAAAAGTTTTCATGAACTGCTCGTCTACCGTCATATGATCCAGTCTAGAAATAATCTTTTAGGAAGCACAGGTCATGAACGAAGTGTGTGTGTGTTGGGTGGACTGATGGCACAGTGGTTAAACACAGAAAGGTCAGCACTTGGGACCCATCAACCACTCTGCCTCCGTGAAGATTCCCAGCCTTGGAAACCCCTCAGGGCAGTTCTGTCAGTAGGGTGATCTGAGCCGGCACCTACGGGAAGGCAATGTGTTTGGGTTTGGGGGTCACCAGGGAGGGGGCCATACCAGCCACTCTTTGGTCATCTCGGGGAACCCCAGTTATTCTGGGTGACTTCCAAATCATCCTGCGGTGGAGTTGCCTGCGGGGTTGTATTCCTGGGAATAAAGTGGCCACCGTGAGCGTCCCAGGAGCCCTGGTGGCACCGAACTGGAGTGCCTGGCTTAGCGATCTGACGGGAGAAACACATTGTGCCCTGCTTCCATCAAGGTGATAACCTTGGACACCCACCCCCTGGGGCAGTGCCGCTCTGCCCTCTGGGGTGTCTACGGGGCAGAATCTGCCTGCCCGCAGCAGTTTCTGGTTCCTGTTTGGCTTAATTGTGGGGGTGGTGGGTTCTGACTCAGAGCAACTCAATGTGCAAGATACAGAAACAGCGCCCTCGGCCGCACCGGCCTCCCACCTGTTGGTATGTTTGCCCCCATTGCTGCAGCCGCTGTGACAGACAGAGGCTCTGAGACCCTGTCTGCTGACCAGGGGCGGAGGGAAGACTGAGGACACCTGCACAGACTGCCCTTCGGCCCCTGGGCAGCTGGGCCCGGCTATCTGTGCTTCACTGGGGCCTTGTTGTTTGCATGAAGGAGTTGATGTCTTCCTGAAGGCCCGCTCCCACCCGCACCCCCTCTTCCTTAAGGATGCAGCCCTGCCCTGCCCCTGACAGGGACCCTGCCGCCCCCAAGGAGAGCTGGGTGGCTGTGGATCGCCAAGGTGGGAGTCGGTCACCCGTGCCAGGCGCTTGGGCCCAGCTGAGTGTCCGAGCGCGGGTGCCCACCTCTCCCGCGTCTGCCTTCCAGGTCACAGCCCTGGCGGCGTTCATCTGCATAGAGACCATCATGGAGTGCTCGCCCTGCGAAGGCCTCTACTTTTTCGAGTTTGTGAGCTGCAGTGCGTTTGTGGTGACTGGCGTCTTACTGATTCTGTTCAGTCTCAACCTCCACATGAGGATCCCCCAGATCAACTGGAACCTGACGGTGAGTGCACGCCCCCTGCCCCCAACTCAGAGAGGCCCCCCGCGAGGTGGGAGCCTTGGCTCCTAGTTCGCTTTGACACTGAAGCAGCCAACCGTGACTCCCCTGGCAGTTGTCGGTCTTGCTCCAGGGTGAGCCAGAACTAATGACGCTTGTGTAACAGGATTCTTTTCCCCTCGGAAACCTGCTCTTTCAGTCCCGTGCTCATCAGGGAAGACCGGTAAGCCACGTTATCCGGGGAGGATCAGAAAGAGGAAAGGAACGTTGAGACCTTTGCCCATTTCTCAGACTGGCATAAAAGCCATTTACCAAAGGCATTGATTCTGGGAGAGAGGATTCTGGGAGTGAAAAATGCCACCAACTTGCAGTACCTGCCTAGAGAGGCCCTCAGAGCCGTTCGGATATTCAGGGCACCTGGGATGACGGGCGGGCGGGGTCATGACAGGCCGCAGTGCAGGTGTCCCTGGGTTTGGCTCGCGGACACCCCTACCTCTGTTGAGTGGGGACCACCCCCAGGGGTGCTCACCACTGGGCCCCAATCTCTGGGCGGCATTTCCTGTCCTGGCTCGACTGTGTGAAGAAGGAAACGTGACCCTGGGTTGCACACTTGATATTTCTGTGCAAACAAGCAAATCAGGAGATGCCTGGGCCCGCTGTCAGCTGCAGTGGGAGACCCACTCGGGCACCGGGCTCCTGCTGAGGGGACTGCCCGGACAGGGCCCTGGAGCCACGTGGGCAGCTATACCCGGCCCTGCCACTGGCTGGTGCTGGTGTCTGCATGCGCTGGGGAAGGTGTCCCTCCCGCTCCGGAGCCTGTCACTTGCCACTCCTGTGTGGGCCGCAGGGTGAAGGGAGGCAGGCTTCCCTCACAGTACATGTCATGTCCCCGTCAGCTCCAGCACTCTTGAGAAATGGAGCAACATTAAGAAGGTGCTGAACTAGCAAAGTTGATGCCAGTTGAAAACTCATTTCATCTGGCCTCACCTTCAAAAGCTGGGAGGAGAGTTGTGCCGCTTTAAACGTAAGCTCTCCTCGGGGAGCATTGGCGTCTGTGTTTCCGTGTCTGGTGTTAATGGCTCCCGGTGGGGCTGTTGGATATGGAGGGGCGTGTGGGTGTTTTTGGTGGTGGTCGTGGTTCAGCATCGACTCTCTTGTTACCGTTGCTGTGGGCCAGCCATCCAAGGTGACAGACAGAGTAGGGCTGCCTCAGAGCATGTCCCTCGCTGACCCCTGCACAGAACCCCATCCCCAGGCCCACTTTCTCCCCAAAAAACAGTGGGCAGGGGGTGTTTGTGAACCCCCAACCTCCCGGTCGGTGCTTAACCCATGGCACCTACACAGCTCCTTACGCGTTCGTCGTGGTCCTTAGCAATGACATGATGATGCTCAGTCCCACCTCCTTAAAAAATCCCGAGGGAATCGAAACCACACAGCATCATTCCGAAGGGGTTCGTCAGTTGGCTTCAGAGACCCTTAGAAACCCCCTCTTTCAGCTAAAACCCGAGGATGGGCCACCGCCTAAGTCCTGGCTGGGGAGGCGCTTGGCCGAGCATGAATGAAACCTTGCCGGGACCACTGACTCGGTGCCCGGAAGGTTGTGCCAAGAAGAGAGCGAGGGCCGTGGGTCAGACATGTCTTTGTCTGCCCGGCGGCTCCAAAGGTCTGTGGCTGACGTTGGGCTAGCCACTGAATCAGACCCTTGCCTTTGCAAGATGGGGAGGATCGTTTTCACACCGGGACTTTAAAACACTGAAACGGGGAGGATATCGTGCACGTCAGGCGCTTGTTTAGGGAGTCCTCAAACCGCAGGCAGTGCCGCCGCCGCCGCCGCCACTCCCACCATTCCCGTTGAGCTCATCGTGTTTCCTCGTGAAGAGCAGCCTCAGCAGGTGTCTGTCTGTCCGTCACTCCTTCTCCTGGAGGCTCATCTCTTTCCAGTCTGTTCTGTCAGCTCGTGTGAAAGAAAGCCTTACCTCTGCCCAAAGGCCTGCTTCAGATTTCTCAGTAATGGATACTGGCCTTAGCCCCAGAAATGGTTACCAGGTGAACTTTCTGAATTTCGGATTCTCCTCTTCCAGCCATGAAAGACATTTCCACTGGAGCACCGCCGCATTATGGGGTCTTATTGAAATGGCTGCTTAGTCTCTGGAGTGTGGGAGAAAGATGAGGCTTTCTGCTCCCACCCAGGTTTACGGTCTCGGGGACCCAGAGAGGCAGGTCTGAGCTCCCCTGCAGGGTCACTGTGAGTCAGAATCAACTCAAAGGCAGTGAGTTTTTGTTTTGAGTTTTCTCTGCAGTGCTGGTAGCTGGGCTTCATTCAGGGGGTGGTCTTGGGCCCCAGGGCTGGTGGTGATGGGGATCTGTGTGAGTCTGGGTAGACTAGAGAAACAAATTCATAGACACTCAGATGTGTGTAAACAAGCACTTTATATAAAGAGCAATTAATTGTACATTAAGAAAACATCCCAGCCCAGTCCAGATCAAGTCCATCAGTCCATTATTAGCCCATATGTCCAGTACCAGTCTGTAAATTCCTTTATCAGACTCATGTAACCCATACAATGATGCTGGGTGCAGGAAGATCACAGCCAGTGGGTGGAAAGTCTTGTGGATCCAGTGGGACTGGCGTGGGTCTCCACATGGCTCATCCAGCTCCAGGGCTCTGGCTGCCGTCAGCATAGCTCCATGTGGCTTGTCAACAGGAATTTCTCTCAGGGAGTCAGTGTGTGTCCCACCTCTAGTGAGCTATTTATCTACTGAGCACCTCCAAACGAGGTCATCCAGCTGCAACCTGATTGACAGGCTAAACCCCACCCCTTCACTCTTAATAGTCTCAAGTTGACAACAGATTGTATAACTACCACATGGTCTCTTGGGAGCATCTTCCTGTCCTTTGGAATCCTTGCCAGGACCTCCCCCACCCACCTCTTTACCTTCCAGGCCAGATGACAGGGTGTGTTTATCCCACAAAAGGGGGGTGGAAGAGGGCAGGGGGACAGACAGGACTCCCCAGTCTGGTCCCAGCTCATCATGTCCTCCAGAGGAGATGGCCGTGGCCATGCCGTGTTCTTCCAGCATGGTGCCAGGAGCATCTTTGTCCCCAGGAGAGCCAGCTGCTGGCTATAAGAGGGAGCAGTTGGGCCCGGTTTAGCTAAGCCGGTCACCTGGGAGCTCAGATCGGCATCAATATTGGCAACAAGCAAAAATGAACGAGAGTCTTTCGTTAAGGCACTCGGTCTGTTAGCAGTGCGTTCTCTTTGCCCTGCGGCTGTGGGCGTTCGCTTTGCTCTGTGTCTTAGGAGCCGCTCACACACATCCTTGCCCACCTCTTTCTCCCCCTCCCTGGGCTGGGCCTGCACACCCAACTGCCCTTCCTAAAAGGAGGTTTGAGCAAGTCTTCTCTACTCCCTGCCTCCTGTACGTATTCTCTCTCTCTCTCTCTCTCTCTCCCTCCTTCCCTCACTCCCTATCTCTCTCCCCACTAACCATATAGTATCTAATGCAGCGTATTCTGAACAGTTTCTAGGAGTAAACATACGGTTGCAGACCCTTGGAGCCAGAGCTCAGTGTGTTTTTAGGCTCAGGTGTGTTGGCAGAGTGCCATGCCATTTGGGCATTTATTGGCAGCCCTAAAACAGCTTGAACAGGCCAGAAGCCAGGCCAGGAGACTGAGGCCCAGGGAGAGGCTTGCCCACACATAGGGCAGAAAGTATCCTGCCTGAAAACTGTTTCCTGAGCATTTCTTGCATGAACTGTAACTTGTTAACGTACCTAATAAACCCCCTAATTGTGGGGAGGGGTTGGGGCACAAATGCGGTTTAATGAAGGATTGCAATGACTAGGTGGCTACCACCTGGGTCAAGAAGAAAGCTATCATCCATACCCCCTAAACCTCCCATCTACCCCCCTCCCCATAATCCTGAGGCCCGTTCCAGTCTCTGACTTCCATGCTCAAGAATCCTCTGGCCAGGATTATTGTGGCCTCCTGCTCCGAGCGCTCCTGGTTCCTCTTGGGGTCTCAGCCCACCAAGCTTCTCAGCAGTACCTGTGACAGTCCTCTGCCCACCTGCCTCCCATGACCCAGGCCTCCCCGGGCTTCCTGCAGCGAGGTGACCACTCCCAGCTCACTCCCTAAGGAGGGCCCCAGGCCAAGGGCCCCAGTGGGCTGGGTCTCCCAGAGCAGCCACGTGCTGAGCCCTCAGCCCTTGTCCAAGACTCGCCCTTTCAGGGACCCCAGTTCTGCTTGAGTTCACGAGGAACAGTAATAGCAATTTCTGCTCGGTAGGTATTTCGGATGGGAGCTGATTAGCACAAGCTTGTGCCTTGTGGTTTAGAACGTGGTTGGGTGTGGGGCCTGGGGCCCGCCTATGGCTGGTGAGTCCCTGTCCCTCTCCAGGAATGAGGAACAGTTACCCCTGTGAACACCAAGGATGTCGTGGTTCTGATGTGGGCTGTGATTCATAAGATTGGCCGTTCGAAACCATGAGTAAGTCGCTCCAGGGAGACAGACAGGGCTTTCTACTCCATAGAAAGTGAGAAGCTTGGGATCGCAGGCGCATCTCTGCCCTGCCTTCTGGAATCACTGTGAGTCAGCATTGACTCCATGACAGTGAGTTTTTTGGAAACACTGGGAAGAGCTCCAGCTCGGGGGTGGGGGCCGGGGAGGGGGGCTGCTCTCCAGGGAATATGAGGAAGTCGGGTGGCTTGCCCCTAGTCAGACAAGCCAGAGCCCTGGTCTGGCTGACGGCTAGCCCCCTGCAGTGTTCTTTCCACCATGAGGGATCGAGCCTCCGGGAAGTTTGAAGGACCGTGAGGGCCGGCCGGAAGAGACTGCTAGGGAGCGAGGCATGTGCTCTGCCAGGAACACGGCGTTTCTAAGGAGGTTTTTCCCAGTTTCAGTACTTTCTGGATGCAGGGCCTTCACCCATGCCCCGGTGGTTTGGATGTTTTGTGTCGGTTGGTTTGTTTTTTAACAAAGACAGCAAAAGGACTCCCAGCAGTCATTGGTGGGCGCATCCTCAAAGGGTTGGCATTTGGGGTGGTGAAGATGTGGCGTTGGCTTAAACTTGCCGTCCCTGGCTGCCTTTCGGCGGTGCGGTGGAGTCCTGCCTGGGGAGCCCAGGGCAGAGCGGAGGGCGGGCACTGCGCTCCTCATTCTGAGGGCGAAGGATGGCAGGAGGCTCTGAACGGTCTTACTCTCTTTCCCGCCAGGACTTGGTGAACACCGGGCTCAGCACTTTCTTTTTCTTCGTCGCCTCGATCGTCTTGGCTGCTCTGAACCACACAGCTGGAGCGGAGATTGCCGCCGTGGTGAGTGAGCTCAGAGACTGGGCCGGCCTGTGGTTCCGCCTGTAGCAGCTGCCCCTGGCATCTCCCAGGGACACTCCATGACGTGCCCTTCTCTGTGGTGACGGCCAGGGCAAGACTTTGCCTCCCTCTGTTCTGCATTGCCCGAGAGCCCCTGTCGCTGTGGGAGCTGGAGGTGCTTCTAGAAATCCTTACCCGACTGCCCTCCCACATGTTAGTCCAGTGGTTCTCAACCTTCCTCATGTCTCGACCCTTTAAGACAGTGCCTCATGTTGTGGTGACTCCCCCGCCCCCCCAAAAAACCCCCATAAAATTACTTTTGTTGCTACTTCATAACTGTAATTTTGCTACTGTTATGAATCGCAGTGTAAATATCTGATTTGCAGGATGTATTTTCATTGTGACAAATTGAACATCATTAAAGCATAGTAATGAATCACAAAAACAATATCGTGAACTATTTATTTTAATGACAAATCAATGAGCTCTTGTCTTGAAGCGTGGTGCAGCATGGGTAGCAGTCTTCACGCCGGGCACTCGTAGGTGGACGTGTCTGCAGGTGGGCAGACCCGCCTGGAGACACAGATAGAGGAGCGATGTCTCGTTTTCTAAGACCATCGGAAATATGTGTTTTCCGATGGTCTTAGGTGACCTCTGTGAGAGGGTCGTTTGACCCCCAAAGGGGTGGGGACCCACAGATTGAGAACCTCTGTGTTAGTCCCCTTTACCACCAGATACCTGAGACACAGTTGTGGCTTCACCTGACTTCACTGGCCGCTGGGGGGTGAGAGGAGGCTGCTGGGCAGCAGGACGTGGTAGGGGTGGGGGACACACCTCATGGCTTGACTTGGGGCCTTGGGCAAGCATGGGCCTTCTGCCCACGTGGTAGATGGATACGTGACGTTTTTCTCAGCCCAGGCCAGAGGCCACAAAGGTGATGCTGAACGAGGCCCTTTTGTGAGGGAGCTTTTATTAATAGGGACAAAGTGCTTCAAAAGGAGCCGTAGGCTGACTTCTGGTCAGGCAGGATTGAAATGGGTCACCCCAGCTACAGATTTGGCTGGCACCTGACAGCTGAACAGTGGTGGGGCTGGGCACCCAGGCACACAGCTCAGGGGGCTGAGGGGGTTGGGGGAACCGCTCCTGGCCTGCCCCTGCCAAGACCCTGTCAGCAGGGGACATGCCCCAGGACTAGTCTGGCCCATTTCTTTTTCTTTCACCCTTCCTTCCTTTTTTCTATGTATGTCCTACATTTTTAAAAATTGTTTCTCTTTATTTTTTAAAAATTTAAATCATTTTATTGAGCCCTTTTTCCCCCTTCCTGTCATTACTCTTTATTTACAACATGTCCTTGATTAATTTTGTTTTTAATCATTTTATTGGGGGGTCATATAACTGTTACCACAATCCATACATACACCAGTTGTGTCAGGCACATTTGTACATTTGTTGCCCTCATCATTCTCAAAATATTTGCTCTCCACTTAAGCCCTTGGTATCAGTTCCTCATTTTTCCCCCTCCCTCCCTGCTCCCCACTCCCTCATGAACCCTTGATAATTCATAAATTATTATTTTGTTACGTCTTACACTGTCCGATGTCTCCTTTCACCCACTTTTCTGTTGTCTGTCCCCCAGGGAGGAGGTTCTATGTAGCTCCTTATTATTGGTTCCCTATTTTTTTATTTTTTAATCATCTTATTGGGAGCTCATACAGATGGTATAACAATCCATAATTCAGTTGGATCAAGCATAATTATACAATTACTGCCTCCATCATCTTCAAAGCATTTTCTTTCTTCTTAAACTCTCTGATATCAGCTCCCCTCGCTCCCCACCCTGCCCCCAGGAGCCCTTATTCTTATAAATAGTTGTTAGTAGTGGTAGTATTCTTCCATATCTTACACGGTCCTCTGTGTCCACTCCCCTACAGTTCTGTTACTCGTTCTCTCGATTGGGGTTATGCAGTCATCTTTGCTATCGGCTCTCCCTTTCCCTCCCCACCCCTTCCTGGACCCCCAGGGAGTCATTGCTCCCATTACTATTTCTGGCAAGTTTATCATGCATTTAACGATCTTCATGATACAAATGAATATTCACAGGTCTACCAGGCTTGATGAAGTAAAACTGGGATGTGACAGGGTAGGGGTGGGACCATTAAAGAACTAGAGGACAGTTGTAGGTTTCTTCAGGGCTGTACATCAGTGTTTCTTCAGGGCTATACAGCACCCTGAATAACCCTCCCATGTGGCCCTTCTGTGAGGGACTGTCCAGTTATCTTACAGGTGGGCTCTGGGTTCCACCACGTTAATCTGATTGCTTGCCTGGGAACTTATTTCAGATATTCGGCTTCTTGGCGACAGCAGTGTACGCAGCGAGCGCCTTCCTGTCCCTGCAGAAGTGGAGAGGCAGCCTGAGCCAGCAGAGCACCAGCGACTACATCCGGGCCCGCTCCGAGTCCAGGGACGTGGACAGCCGCCCCGAGATCCAGCGCCTGGACACGTGAGGACCGGCGGGGCCTCGCCCTCCCGCCCAGCCCTGCAATCAAACTTTCTTCCCCTCGTCACGTCAGATTCCCATGTGATCACATCGGATGCTGCCCTCTGCAGAAAGAAGTTCACTCGGGTAACAGGTTTTCTGAGTGGCCCTGCTAGCGGGTATGTGGGTGGAGGGCACCCCGGTGCCTAGCTGTCCAGACAGCAGTGGGCAGGCCTGGCCGTGGCTTCTCCAGCCTGTGGGGACTGTGGAGGGCAGCTGGCCTCCTGGCTGGCCGAGTCCACCCTCGAGCTGACTCGGAGAAGGAGAAGGACTCTCTGTCACGCGTGTTTGCAGCAAGTCGAGACTGGGGATGGAATGGGGTTCCTGAGAGGCACGAGGAACCATGAAGGAATTATGACGGAGGGGCAGCAATCCCCGGGCAGCTCCTGGGGGCTGCTGCCCTGCTTGTGTGTGCCCCAGGGTGGTGCTGAAAACCGGCCGGACCCTCACTTCACACATTCTCCCCCCACCTGCCTGACCTGGGCTGCAGGCGGCCAGCACAGCCAGAAGGTCATGTGTGATCCTGAGGGTCTGGGTGGAGGGATGAGCTCCCCAACTCTCCCTGGACCTCACTGGGTTAGGAATCTCTGATGTCCACTTGGGACAGCTGACCCAA